ATATTCACCACTCTTTGGAACAAATAATTTGTTTTTTCCATGAATTCTGTTGAATGGTATTGAGACATCTGCCTTTTTTTTGTGAGCAACAACTTGTGTTGCAATGCAACTAGTCAGGCATAGAGACGCTCTCCCTGTGTATGAAAGAGTATTTAATTTTGAATTGGAAGATTGTGCAACACTTCACAGAAATGTCATTTGAGCATCAGCAACACCAAAGTGCTTCTGTCCAGATGTTTCTTCTCTTGATGTCCTTGTACTGCTCTCTCCTTTGCCTTCTTTCCTGTTCTCTTAGCTAACTTTTGCCTATACTTCAAAACTTCCTACAGGCATTGCCTCCTTCAGTAACCAAAAAAAAAAAAAAACAATGCCGTTGAGTCGATTCCAATTCATAGCAACCCTACAGGAAAGAGTAGAACTGCCCCAGGAGGTTTCCAAGGATGTAAATCTTTACGGAAGCAGACTACCACATCTTTCTCCCGCAGAATGGCTAGTAGATTTGAATTGCTGACCTTTTTGTCAGCAGCTGAGCACTTTAACCATTGCACCACCAAGTCTCCTTTCCATCATTAAGTCTTTAACCCTCTCTTCCTCCCATCTTGGCTTATTATTTATCCTTCCTCTTTGTTCCCATGGCACCTATGTACACTTCTATCATTAGTCTAGACAAATTGCTTTATAATGAACTGCTTGTCTATATCCTCAGTCAGATTGTGAGCTCATTGAGAGCAATGGCTGTTGGATTCACCTGTATACCCTCAGCACCGTACTGAGAACATGAGAGGGAGTATCCAGGGATGAACCTGGAAAGTAGGTTGGGCCGCATGTGAATGACTCTTTATGCTGTGCTAGTTTGAACTCTAGCCAGCGGACAATGTGAACGCATTGACGGTTTTTCAACAGAGGAGTGAAGAAATCATATTTAGGTTTTAGGAAGAAAACTTTAATGGCATTATAACTAGGAGAAGAGTTTAGAGATAGGAATTCCAGTTCAGAAATTTATGCGGGAGTATATGTCAGAGTGCACTGTTGGTTTGAACCAGTTTGTGAATGTGAGAATACAGAAAATGTTGACAAACGTGGGTGTGAGAGGGGTGAGGGAGAAAGGCGTGAAGGATGACTAAGTGTGGAACTGTTTTTAAGGAGTGAATGAAATTTTGAATACTTGAACTAATCAAGCCTAATGCTTTTGAACAAAGCAAAACGAGTATAACTTACTGTTTCAATGATGGACTGAAAATAATATAAATCCTCACTTCACAACCTCTTTAATATACCTTGTATGATAAAGGAGTCCAACCACATTGCCTCAAAATCCTAGGCCAGTGAAAAGAAATGAATTCTATTTAACCCCAGAAATGAAAATGAAAATAATTATCTTCTTTATTCTCTAATCATTCGTCTAAGTGTGGGTAGAACTTCTAACTTATGTTTAATAAGTTTTTACTATGACCATTTGTCTTCATAAATATTTGAAGTAAACAAATTATTGCCCTAACCTGAAAAATGTATTACTGGTAAAGGTATTTTTCACATAAAAAAAGTTATAATTAATATCTTTGAATTAACTAATTAAATAATTTTTGAAATAATTATTAAGTAAAATATCTCAAGTAACTTCAAAAATAGTATGACTACAAAAATACTTCAACTTTGCAGGCTATTTCTAATGATGCTGTTTATGTAAATTAACATTTTTAAAACTCTTCTACTGATCTTTTATGCAAAACCTTGATATGGCATGATTTTTTTTTTTTTAATTGTACTTC